ATTCACTATGTGAGAGGTCCAGTTGCAACTAATTTTGTTGTTAAAAAAAAAAAAAAAAGATTTTCTGAAAGACTTTGAATAAGATATCCACTCTGTGCCTCAGTTCCCCATATACGAAAGGGGGACACTCATACTATCACACTGGGTGTTTGAGAATCAATGCATCAAAGAGTGAGATGCTTGGATACTACAGATACTAATAGGTTCCATTAAGTACATAAAAGAGATAAATAAATCTTATTTCATTTAATTGCCAACCATTACCAGGTAGGCATACCTGCTACTTTTGTGACCTGTAGTTAGAACTCAAACAAGTTGGACAACATACCTTCCACAACAGTTTGCTAAATTTAACTATCGGACCTCCCTCAGATTTCAGATTGTCAAAATATACTTGGCTAAATACTGACTAATCACACAACATTTTAAATTACTCAGCTATATTTTAACATCAAGCTAATCTAAAACAGGGATGTGGAGACTTGTGAAAAATTAAAAGGCAGAGTTCACAAACATCTTAGTTCCTGTTGCTCCATAAAGTGAGTAAAAAAGAATGCCTACATTTTAAAACAAATAAATCCTCAAATAGTTTAGAAATATCTTAGTTATCATAAAGTATAAGAGATTAATCCTGAATTAAGTTTCATTTTCAAGTGGCGGAAGAACAGTTCACCATATTCCCACTCAAGCATCTTCACAGCTAAAAAAGCTGAGTTGTTTCACATTTTTTTTTCCTCGTCACCTTTTCAAAAATAAAAAAGTGTCCCTGCCAACTCTAACAATTCTACTAAATTTGAAGGAAATATATATTTAGTAAGTATCCTGTAAACCAGTCAATATCAGACTCCACCCATTGTCCCTTTCCCCTTACTGCTACTCAACAATGTACAAGCAGGTTGCACATCATGAGAACAAAAGCACCAAGCACTACAAGCTAAATAGCCCAAGGAAAGATTTGGTGAATGCCATATTTACCTCAATAATACTTGTTAACTATCAAGTTCTGGCAGCTTATTAAAGCTCTATCTTGTTCTCACTCAAGTTAATAACTCCCATTCAAATGAAAAAAACATGAATCCTAAAATTAAGGAAAGCATGAGTTATACTGCAAGAACCAACATGTCTATTTGATGGGAAAATATTGTCATCTAGAAGTATAACAAGCAGTCCAAGTGCAATCCAACAGGTAATTGTTTAAATACATTGTACTTTGTTCATGTTTCTCTCACCCCACTCTGGAGTGTAACATTTAGTAACAAACGTTTGAGAGAAGTGTTGTGCTTTAAAGAATACTCATACAAATACACCACAGCAAATTACTAGTCTAAGTAATTTGAAATCTTTTTAACTACTGATATAAACATATAAATACAACACCACATAATTTTATCACCTTCTGGTTACTACAGTGATTCATCAACAGAGTTTATTTATTCTAAAATTAAACTGTAACAGAACACTTTCTACTTCACATCTTTAAATACTCAAATTAACAAGCCAGAATACTGGTTGGTATAAAATACTAATTATACCATTTATATTACAAAATAAGGTTCCTTATATGAAAAATATGCACTATCAATTTTAACCAAGCTAAGAACCTTTTCAGCTACACAATTTCAGAACTGCTCTGTTTCTATTTTTTTCTAGCAAGAATTTTCTGGTGAATCATTTTTAAAAACTCTGACTGTAAAACATATTAGCTAAAATTAAAAAGATTAGGTAAAAAACAAAAAACAAAACACACTTACTTGACAGTAACTCGACTGGATAAATCCTGAAGATCCCCAGGATGAAAAAGCTGAGCTTCTTTCAATCCAATATTTTCACAAGCTTTCAGAAAAACATTTATATTATCCTGTGAAAAGAAGTGGAAAGCTATTGCTTAGTTAAGCAGCTATGAGCAGCTACTGCAAGTAGATTAGTATGAACGCCTAAGTTTCAAAGTCCAGCTCATGACAATAATAAAAAAAAGCAATCTTCCAGATAAATACTAGTAATACTTCATACACTTGCGTGGGCTAGTTTGTGATCTTTGACTGACACACACGTTAAAGATTGCCTGATATAAGGCAAGTGACTAGCCAGTAAGCAGTAATCTACACTTTGATGTCAGTTCTGCTCTGCAAACAAACGCCCTCTTTCCAGCTTTGCACGACAAGCCTCACCTCTTGCCTTTAAAAATAACTCCAGCTACTGACATTCACCCACCCAGAAACTGTTGGCAATGGAGGAATAAGAGGAGGAACATTCTGTTTCTATGATTACAGAATGATTGTGGAATACTGCACCTGGAATCTGGGTTTGGTTGCTGAGCAGGCTCTTGACAGAGACACAATCCAAACTGCTTGATCAAGGAAGCAGCAAAATATTTTATAGTGTGGAACTATAAAATATAGGTGTGGTAGAGTACTCGCTTTTTCCACCTGCTTCAGAACAACTGTCTAGTAAAGGCAGAGTAACAAACACATAACTGAAAAGACTGCAGAATTCATGATTTCACCTTCTACTGCATAATCAAAGGCAATTTAAAAGAAATTCTTTCAGTACATAACATTTTTATTTAATAGAAGAATATCCCTTCACATTCACTTCATAGCTCAATTTGGTAGAAAGGGGAATTGGAGAGAAGAGGCTACTGTTACTTAAATCATAAAATATAGCCATGTCATTCAAAGTTTCTGTACTTAAGGTACAGGGCCAGACTTTTCAGTCTGTAAAGCAGTCATGTTATCAATTCAGTACCACTTTAGAGATGTTAAAATTAGATTAATCAACTAATCGAATATTCGATGGAATTTCCATAGACTATTCTATTGCCAATAAGTGCACTTCCACTTTAAAATATAGCACGAGTCAACCTGTCTGTTCATACATTTCAAAGGGGGAAGTGTTGTGCAGCATTCCGCCCCAGCAAAGATTGAAATGCCACATGCAACCCAGGGCCAGTGAAGGACTCTGAGTTCTTCGCTGGCCTCAGGCTCCATGCAGCACTTCTGCTTTGAAATATACAAGAGCCCCAAGTAGGGGCTCTTGTACATTTCAAAGATGGAACACTGCTGCTGCACCCCTGCCCTCTCCCATGGAGCTGGAATTGGAGGAAGAGAGGGTGAGAGAACCAGCTTTTAATCCCACACCCCCTAGCACCCTCTCCTCTTCTCCCCACCTTGCTGCCTCTTTCTGACAGAGGCAGCAAGGAGGGGGGCAGGAACAACTAGTCATTTACATACCCATACCACCTTAAAACATTCTCTTCCTCTTATTTGTTCTCCTTGGATGAAAGAACTCAATTACATAAATTATGAAAGTACTCCTCCCAAGAAATCAGAGAAGTGTCAGTATCTTTGAATTAAAAAATCACCCCACTTGTAAGGCAGAAGTGACTATGTTTAAGTAAAATCAAGTGATTAAATGCAAATAATTGAATGGAAATGTATAACATCAATTGTAAATTTACCCTGTGAATCTTTGTACAGTGCATAGGACTGATGTTATTTATTATACACATGTACGTATGCCAATTTTACTTATTTACAATGCATAAAGACTTAAATATAGCAGAGTTCTGCAATATCTCAAAATGGAGTCTAAAACTCCATTTTGAAAACCATAGAACTTTCTCTGAGCAACCAATTTGAAATATGAATTCTGTCACGTCCACAGGTAGCAGTTAGAGATTTAAAAACAGCAACGCACCTACCTGTTAAGATTTGAATAAGTTATGAATATTCATTAATATCCTCCATTGACCAATCAATTCAAACCATAAGAGCATCTTTATCAGCCAATCATTTTAAACCTAGAACACTCATGAATATTCATGAGCCCTGAGTATAAAAGTTTCTACCGCACAGCAGTTGCTGCTGGCCCCTAGGCTCATCCTTGGGTCAGACAGCGTCGGGTCGTCGGGTATAGGTCAGAGAGAGAGAGTGTAAAGTTCTAGATACTCTTGTCCTAGGTTGGATGAGTGAGGTCTTATACAGAGTTTCTCTCTTAGAAGGGACTGACGGAAAGTCATGCTCCCTCAATTTAATCTAATTTAAGTCTTTTACAGGGATAGGCTGACAGAAGGTCAGACCTTCTCTGATTAGGTTAGGTATTTAGTTAGGTAGTGTTTAGTCAGGATAGCTCACCGCACAGCAGTTGCTGCTGGCCCCTAGGCTCATCCTTGGGTCAGACAGCGTCGGGTCGTCGGGTATAGGTCAGAGAGAGAGAGTGTAAAGTTCTAGATACTCTTGTCCTAGGTTGGATGAGTGAGGTCTTATACAGAGTTTCTCTCTTAGAAGGGACTGACGGAAAGTCATGCTCCCTCAATTTAATCTAATTTAAGTCTTTTACAGGGATAGGCTGACAGAAGGTCAGACCTTCTCTGATTAGGTTAGGTATTTAGTTAGGTAGTGTTTAGTCAGGATAGCTCCCGTCATCGAGTCTGTACGTCAGGCTGCGTCGATCCACGCATGTCGGCCGTCGTCGTGTCTATTCGTCGGGCTCGTCGGGTTTAGATAAGGTTTTCATTTTAGATTAGAGTTAGGGTAAGTAGGATAGGGTCTAGCATCAATTGCCTGATCCTGCCGCACTGAAGCGTGGAGAAGGGATCGCGAGGACCAGAAGACTTCGTGGAAGATGAATCTACCATCATCGCTCTCTGCTCACACCTAGAGGGATTCACCTTCAGGATAGCTCCCGTCATCGAGTCTGTACGTCAGGCTGCGTCGATCCACGCATGTCGGCCGTCGTCGTGTCTATTCGTCGGGCTCGTCGGGTTTAGATAAGGTTTTCATTTTAGATTAGAGTTAGGGTAAGTAGGATAGGGTCTAGCATCAATTGCCTGATCCTGCCGCACTGAAGCGTGGAGAAGGGATCGCGAGGACCAGAAGACTTCGTGGAAGATGAATCTACCATCATCGCTCTCTGCTCACACCTAGAGGGATTCACCTTGGTTGTTCCTCCCTGACGGCTTTCAATTAGCCCAAAGGTTGTAGGTCGCCAAGCGCCGGGATCAGCCGACGAGGGACACCTAGCTGTCCTCCCTAAAGGCTCTCAATTAGCCCGAGGGTTGTAGGTCACTAGCAACTCACCAATCCTCTCCGTCACCGTAGACTCTGTGGTAGGCATAGGGACCTGGAAGGACTGCCCTTCCTGGTCCATTTAGTGTAAAAAAGGGGACTGCCCCCTCATTTGTTCATTTGAGGTACTGCTTGTTAAATTTGTTTGTTTTTAATAATATAGTCTTGTGGTTTTCAGTTAAATCCACGTCTCCAGTTTTCATTTGTGCGCCATACAAATCTAAGATTGGCACTCCCAGTGATCAGATACGGATTTGAGAGTCACTACCTTATATACCATCCCTTGCGGATGAGCTGAGTTATTAGATAACTCTCGAGGAAGTTGTCCTTAAGACATCCTTCCTAATTCTGTCAAAGAGATACCGTAACATACTATATATTTGAGACTGTTCGTGTGTTTGTTCAAGAAATCCTTCTAAATCAGTCGTCTCCAACCTTTTTACATCCAAGATCACTTTTTGAATGTCAGGACAATCCAAGATCCACCCCATCCCTTCCCCAAGACCCTACCCCTTCCTTAAGGCACCGCCCGCTCCACTCTCCTCCTCTCCATCACTTACTATCCCCAGCCCTTATACACTCTCACTGGGTTGAGACAGGAGGTGTGGGCTCTGGGGTGGAATGAGGGATTTGGGTGTGGGAACAGGTGAGAAGTGCAAGCTCTGGGAGGCAATTTGGATGCAGAAGGAGGTAGAGAAGGGGATGATGGCTCGGGGAGGGGACTCCAGGCTGGGAAGTGTTGGGGTCAGGTGGAGGGTTGAGCAAGCCACAGGCTTGTGGGTATGAGGGTGGAGGGATTTGGGGTGGGGAAGTGTTGTGCAGCATTCCGCCCCAGCAAAGATTGAAATGCCACATGCAACCCAGGGCCAGTGAAGGACTCTGAGTTCTTCGCTGGCCTCAGGCTCCATGCAGCACTTCTGCTTTGAAATATACAAGAGCCCCAAGTAGGGGCTCTTGTACATTTCAAAGATGGAACACTGCTGCTGCACCCCTGCCCTCTCCCATGGAGCTGGAATTGGAGGAAGAGAGGGTGAGAGAACCAGCTTTTAATCCCACACCCCCTAGCACCCTCTCCTCTTCTCCCCACCTTGCTGCCTCTTTCTGACAGAGGCAGCAAGGAGGGGGGCAGGAACAACTAGTCATTTACATACCCATACCACCTTAAAACATTCTCTTCCTCTTATTTGTTCTCCTTGGATGAAAGAACTCAATTACATAAATTATGAAAGTACTCCTCCCAAGAAATCAGAGAAGTGTCAGTATCTTTGAATTAAAAAATCACCCCACTTGTAAGGCAGAAGTGACTATGTTTAAGTAAAATCAAGTGATTAAATGCAAATAATTGAATGGAAATGTATAACATCAATTGTAAATTTACCCTGTGAATCTTTGTACAGTGCATAGGACTGATGTTATTTATTATACACATGTACGTATGCCAATTTTACTTATTTACAATGCATAAAGACTTAAATATAGCAGAGTTCTGCAATATCTCAAAATGGAGTCTAAAACTCCATTTTGAAAACCATAGAACTTTCTCTGAGCAACCAATTTGAAATATGAATTCTGTCACGTCCACAGGTAGCAGTTAGAGATTTAAAAACAGCAACGCACCTACCTGTTAAGATTTGAATAAGTTATGAATATTCATTAATATCCTCCATTGACCAATCAATTCAAACCATAAGAGCATCTTTATCAGCCAATCATTTTAAACCTAGAACACTCATGAATATTCATGAGCCCTGAGTATAAAAGTTTCTACCGCACAGCAGTTGCTGCTGGCCCC